ATGTTTTTCTATCGCATGGCGATCGACCTCATTCTGTCACAGCTAGCTATAGCACCGACGCTTTTTGCTAAACGGAATCCGCAATTGAATACGCGAGGCAAACCAGGCAGGCGAGGTGTAATTTCGCGCATAACTCGGTTGCCATCGAGTTCATTTGTGAGTGAAAGTGCAACTCGCCTTTTTTCCTTTGCTATCGACATTTCGATGACATTCGAAGAATTTCTCAAGTTTTGCTTGTCACAAATTACCTGAAATAAGGAAGGACGTTTCTTGAGTGGCTGAAGAAACCTGTTCACATATGGCTGCTTGAGAGATTGCAATTTCGATTTTTACTAAAAATTCGAAGCAGAAGGTGGAACAGGTGCCGTGACCTCTTTTTATAGTGGGGAATTCATTAGAATTCATATGCCTAAGCTGTCAAAGAATTTTTATTTGGGAAATTGTGGTCATGCAGTAAACCATGAAAAATCGCAAAAATTGTAGTAATCGTAACTCGTTTTGTAACAAATTTCCGGAAAGAAGATTTTTCTCGATTACGATTAAATGGTTCTGCAATTTTTTTCATAAATCGAAATCAATTTTGTGGAAAATTTTAGGGCGCTTTATGGAACCACATTTTCAAAAGCATTGCAGTTATTTTTAATGCATATTACGTCAAACGCCTTTACTACTATCTCTATCCCTCCCCCCCCCCCCTTTGTTTAAAAATTACTTCGGCCGTTATTGTTGTGAACATACGTTCTTTATTATAGCCCACTTCTTCCCTACAATAACCCTAAATTAAGACCAAAAAGGCTGACGAGACCTGAGTGTCATATTACCCAAATAAAAAGAATTTATCGAATTTTAAACTCAAAAGATGAAATAAAAACCTTGCGTGTTAGATTTCGGTACGTGGGAATAAAGAAAAAATTTTCTGGATTCTTGGAAATCTATTTTTTGAAAACTGAGGAGCAAAAGGAATGCCTTCTATTTCAAAGAAAAAAAGAGAAATAAATATAAGATAAGTCTTTTAGTGGCAAATTTTTCTTGTCTAGTATTTTCAAATACATCAGTAGGGCAAAGTTTTCATTTCTCTTATTAAGCAACATTTCTTCTGAAATTTTATTCAACGCATCATTTCTCTGGAATGCGTCCTTTTGCAAATTTTACCTTACCGAACAAAAATTGTTCAGCTCTTGTAAAGAGCAAAATTAATCCAATGACATCCTCACAGAATTATCACTTTTTGCCCTTTTCGTGGTTGTCCTTGCAATTTTTCGAGAAGAGGGGCACAGGTGTAATGTGGGTGATTTATTTCTATATCACTGCTGGTTTCTTAAGTCAACTTACTTTACACTACATTTCACAGGTGTTCGGTGCTCTCAGCACTAGCTGCGACTCCAAAGAAATACAAGTGTAAAAGTGCTATGTGCCAGCACTTATAGCACTGGTGGAGGTGAAGGTCGAAAAAAATCCGAAATTTGTGTACCCGTGGTATTAGGTTACAAAACTATAGTGAGGTGCCACGGCACCTGTGCTGTTGGAAATATATGAAGTGCACTTGGGAAGGGAAATAACTGTGAGAAAAATGTTGGGCTAAATTACTACTTTTGTAAAAGAACTGAGAGGTCAAAAAAGAATTTCTACTCATAACATTCCTACAAAAATTCATATTACAATCTATACAGAAAAAGATGATTATTTTGAAAATTTCGATTTCGAAACGGTACGTTTTTCGAAAAAGAGCTTTTTCCAATTTATACAAATACTAATTCACGTCAATTAGTTTACGAAAGAGGGTGGGCCTCAAAATAAGCGTATGTCATGGAAATACTATTAGTTTGAATAAACGCTTGGCACATTCACGACAGTGCGACCCACCGGTGGGTCGTACGTGTTCTGTCATTTTGTCCAACACGATCCACCGGTGGGTCGTTTACTTTCCAAAGTCTTAGCATTTGCTAGCTTACATGAAACTTTTTGGGCAGACTGAATAACCTTCCGCATAGATCTCTTGGAACACTTCTTGAAGGTTAACACTTCAGATCAAATGACCCCGCAGGGGGCTAACTCAAAATTGCGAAATATGCTCTAGTCCGAAATGGCAGTCATCGAAAATTTGGCTTTGTTGTGAATGTGTTGAAATTTTCTAAAAAGGTGTGGAGGAGTGCTAGCTATTTTTCTATACGCACATGCGCGTTCTCGTGTGGAATGAATCGGTTCTAGTATTGATTTTTTTTATTTAAATGGTCTCTCCAACTATAAAACTAGCTACACTACCCTTGTCCGTCAACTCCATTTCTCAGGGAAATTCTAGATGTTAGGGGCCTCTTAAACCTAATGAGATCTTCTCGTTTTATGCTAATCTGCTTTGCTCTGATCCCATAAGCCTGTTTAGTTGAAACCCTCTTCTAATTATTCTTTGGTCATGTAGCATATATTGTTCATCAGTCACAAATATTCCAGAAAAGAATTTTTTGTAAACTCAGTACGATATGAGGTGAATATAACCGCTGGAAGTGTGAGATTTTTCATATGAAGTTCAAACCAAAGCGCAATTCTATTAGAAACTCTATATTTACCCTTTTCAAGCAACATTTATTTATTTCTTCTTCAGCAAACGTAACTTCATCATCTTATGTAGGTTCTGCTGTAAAACTTATATATTTGTACCTTCCGTGCATTAAGCGGGATAGGCTTATGGTGAAAGTGCTCATTTCCGCTCTCCAGAATTTCGGTCACAAAAAATTGAAGGTAGACGTCACTTTCATTAGAATACCTATAATCAGAATTTGTTTTTCAGTAGCGTAGGTGCTTCAAATCAGCCGCTTCTTTAGAAAATGAAGACCCAAGAAAGTGAAGTAGTTATAGAAGTCAACTTCAAGTAATAGATCGTTTCATAGGTTTTTATTACATCCATGTCTTCCTCTGAAAAACCTTTGAAAATTTTGCGAAGTCTCTTATATAGCATATATGGGAAAAGGATAAAGGGTTATTCATTGACATTTACCTTCATTTAAAGAGTTAAGCAAATATATAGGCAACTTTCTTATGATACTTCAACCTTTGGTTTTTCTTCATTTTGTGAAAAACTCCCCATTCTTTTTTTCATCTTTTTAGGTCTTACATTGACTTCCGGACACATCTGTAGTAGTATGAAGGAAGTTCGGAACTTGAAGCTCTTCACCAATGCAAGTTGGAAATCTGCCAAAATAAGTTGAAAATTTTAGTGATCTAAAAATTGGGTTTCATGTGGCGCGTGTATATATCAAAATTCCACAACGTTCTACATAGTTTGGAAATGGGAAAAAATCTTCGAAGAATTTTCGGAGATTTCCTGCTAAGTGTAACAAAACTGATGTAACAACCCAATAATTTTAACATCAATTCCAAAAAATAGTTTGTTGCTAGAAAATTTGCCTCGATTTTTGCGATTCTAGCATCTATCTTCCCGTAAGGTGCTCGTTTTATCCACATCTAACTCAGACAATCGCCGGAACTTCCGCAGAATAAGCAAGATCAGGTCCGCAGGATTTTGTTTACTATTGCAAAAGTGGAAACATTGAAAATGGGAACTTTCGCAGCGATTTTCGCAACTTCCACAGCACGTTTACGGAACATAAGCAGGTGACTCGGCGGAACTTCCCCAAACGTTCTACGGAAGTCCCGGTCAGTTGTCGAAGAAGTACTCATTCTACTTAGTTTTTTTTTTACTTTTTCGGTGCTTCTTCTTTCTTAGCTGTTCCTCAAGCGATCAAACTATTAGAATGAACGAGAGACTGCTATTAAACTATGTTTCGCTTTTAGAGACATACTGGAACTGGCGTTTCCGATTTTATAGCTTTGATGACCTCTGATATGAAATTTAGCGCAGTCTGCGCCTCCCATTTTAGTCTTCTCTAGTTTCTTCACATCGTTGTATCCCAAAACGATTTAAACTATCTTTATGTCTACACATCATGAAGAAACGAGGCGTGCATTTAATGCCACTGGTCTGTCGAACTACTCTTTTTTTACAAAAGCTCCCCCGACCTAGGCGAGTCGTTTACAACCGATTGTAGACGGTCGTAAATGAGCGGCAAACTCGTGTTTCTCTGAGAAAGAACAGAGACGAAGCGCCGTGGGCCCTCAGCCGGCTTCTTTAGGAGCCGCGTAATTGACAGGGAACAATGAGCTACTGCAAACAATGTGACAGATCTTATCTGGGCCATAAAAGGTGTATTGGTGACTGTATCCGGTGAGAGAGTGACCTGTTCTGTATGGCCATTGTGACGCATTTTCTCAGAGTCGGGTCCGATTTGTTATTCAAAAAATTATTTTGATGGCCATTGTGCCTGTGAGTCACACGCTACTGTGAATCCGTACTGTTTGCGGATTCAGAAAAGGGCTAGAACTGGGGGGGAGGGGGAGGATTACTGCCTTATAAAAAATTCATTCGTGAAAATTAGAGGCGAAGTAACACTCACATCCCCAAAACACTATTAACTGAGTTTCAAAAAAATGCTTTCTCCTCCCCCCCCCCCGAGAATGGGTCGCGAAATTTTTAAAAGTTACTTGCATGAGTTATAAAAACCAAACGCAAGTGACTCGATTATACTTGTAAATAACTGAAATAATTTTTAAAATTTTTTTGAAAATTCAATTTAGCCTTGTAGAAAATTTTTTCGGGATAGTTATAAATACCTCCTAAAAATTCAAACACAAGTTCTATTAATCGGGGGAGGAAAGAGTGGATTAGTCATTAGTGGTACTATGATTTTTCTCAAAAAAATTTAGGGCTGCAACAAAACCCCTTTATGCTTGCAACTTTTTGGAAAACAAGAAAGGGCTGTTTCTCCTTTCCAAAAGTTTCTCAGAAGATACTGTTGATAAAAAACTCTAAATAGTATCTCAAACTTTATATTATTTGATAAATAAGTTTACAGTGCTTATGTTTACAAACAAATCTTTGACAAACGCAAATAAATACCATATAGTTACGGGTCACGGCTGTCATAATTTTGTTTATCAGCCTGCAGATGTTTGTCTATTTACAGTTTACTGACAGAGTAAGTAATTGTATTGACTCCAGATTGAAGGCTGTCTCTCACATCTGACCCATAATGATTGTGATGGGTCAAATGCGGTTAGGTTTGGGATGATCAAAACCCAGGTTTCAAAAAATAAAGCCAAACTTGTAAAGTACTAGTTTGAAAATGATTGCATGCGCCTCCTACATTTTGAAATTTTCCAAGAATCAAACTTTGTTGTGAAATTTCTGAGTTTTTATTACTTTCATTGCGCATTTAGCACGTTTTTGCGCAGTCGAAGCCAAATCGCGGAAGTAAACTTGCATTTTGAGTGGAAGTCCAGAAAGATATTTTTAGGTTCCGGGCCCAGAGTTACTTGATTAGATTTCGACACTCAGAAATGTTGGAGCTGAAGTATGTGTAACTGCATTTTCTAAAACTAAGCAGATCTTACGAGGGTGTTATCAGCGAGCTGTGGAAGACATATTTCTCAAGTAATATGCATGACAGAACTAAATCCGAATGCAATGTGTCAAAAAAATCTCGGACTCAGACAACTGACCGGAACTTCCGCAGAATGTTTGAAAAGTTCCGTCGGGTCACCTGCGGAAGTTCCCAAATGAGGTGTTACAAGTTTCGAAAATCGCTGCGAAAGTCCCATTTGCCATCTACTGGGATCATTCGTCCTTTTGCGGACCTATGTTACAGTGGATATAAATCATCTCCGTTTTTCTTTATTTTCCAAACCCTCTGACCTTTTTCAACTTTTTAGGGTTTTTTAACTTTTGCGGACCTAAGTTACAGTGGATATAAATCATCTCCGTTTTTCTTTATTTTCCAAACCCTCTAACCTTTTTCAACTTTTTAGGGTTTTTTTGCGGAATTCTGGGAGCATCAAGTGCAATACAGAAGCAGTAAATTGAGTTTTGAAAAGACAAATTGAAAATTTGCCAAACGTTCGGAAAATTTTCAGAAGTACCATATGGAATTCTTTATGTGTGACGCTTCGATATTGAAAATCGGCAGCATTACAGTGCGGGAACGAAGGTTTGGGGGAGCTTACGGAGATTTTTTCGGATAGGGGTAACAAAACATATGTAACAATCTAATACATCCCTAGATTCATTTGGGTATCAAATTTCTTGCATGTGCTGAAAAAAATCACAGTCTATGCCTTGCTTTGATCGTCAATCCATTTGTGCCCACAAAATTCATATATTACTTTTTTTTGTTCGCTACAATCTATTCTTCCCATCAGATTTTGTGGAGAAGAGAGCTTTTGCAGTCTAGAGATTTTTCAGACACCCTCATATAGCGTCTTCTGTCTTTCTTTCTTCTTCACTTCATAATTTTTATTTTAGCATTATCAAATTCATTTTAAGAGATTTCCTCATATTCAGGGCACCATATATCAATGCGAATGCTCACAATGTTGGAATACGGTAGCAGCAACGGAATCACTTGATTGGATTACTGTATCTTTGATGGAATGTCCGTTGCGATTCAATGATACGATACTCCGGAAACGGATCGCTAATTGGATCAATGAAGGTATCTATCAGATCATCATCCATCACTTTTCCAGGGATATAAAATGGATTTCTATTGATTGTTATTGATTGTTTAGAATGTGGTGCATCGCTAAATTGTGGATTGAAAAGTCAACTTGGAATGGATCAAGTTGTTATTGGGCATTATGAATGCGACCACGATAGGAATGAGCTTCGATTAGTTGCTATTTTAAATGAATCAATGGGATTGCATCAAAGTAAGTTTGATATCTCAAAATTCCACAATCGCAGCTGTGAAGATAAGGGCTTTTCCCTTGTTTATCTCATTCACGGTACCATATGTCTCTCTTACCTTCCAGTGTCTCTAAAATAGCCTCTAGTGCGAAAAAGCAGCAATTACCCTTCAAGCAATTCCTCTTCGAATGTTTCATCCTCTCGAGCCTTTATAGGCCATTTATTTCCGCGCGATATAAATTGCGAATAAAAGAAATTGAACGGGCAATTCATGGTAAATTGAATCTAAAACGCCCGAGCAGTGTATGGTCCAGATTTTTTTGGTCTGTCTTGGGGGAGCTGCAAGGGGAATAAATAATGGAGATCTGCATCAAAAATATGGTCCCTTGGGTTTGGAATTCCTGTTTGTGAGAAATTGCGCCCAAAATTTGCTTCGAATAGGCAATTCGTTTGGAAAAAAATTGAAGTTATATCAAACCGCTAAAATGTAACTTCCACTACCTCCCTTCCCGCTAGCCTCCGATGCTGAAACCGATTGCCCTCCAATCCCTAAAATCTTTCTTCCACTTCCCCCTTACTCTCTACTCACTCTTTGAATTCTGAATTATTTAGATAAGGAAAAAGTAACTTGAGTCTTTTGCAAACTCGTTGAGATACAACAAAGAGTATAAAATCGGCAAAATCCTCCCGCCTTCCTATCCCAGGTATTCGTAACGTGGCCAACCATGTTTTTTTTACTAGTAATCCGAATCTAGCCCAAAAGCTCCAACTAAGTATTTGATTTTTGGAGGTTGACGATGGAAAAAATTATTAGAATGGCGAAAAAGTTCGTTTTTTCATGTATATTTCCATAAAAAAATTTTCTTTTTGTTAATCCATGATATTTTAAGGCAAAATAGCCCAAAGCTTCTACCATCACATATCTATTCAGAATTTCTACTATCATTAAAAGACATGATATCCCAATATGGCTAGAAACTTAGTAATTAGATACATCTAAGGTTTATCTATTTAGCGACTAGCGATAAAATTTGTGATCAGTCATTTGGAAATTTTTGGACCGAAAAAACTAAATTTGCTCACATTTCCGCATATGAAAAATTGGGGTTTCTTCCCTCCGTAGGCCTTTTTCGCAAAAAGTAAATTCTTAAACAAATCCATAGTTTCTAGTTCTTATTGAAATGCTCTTTTCAAATAGTGGACAAAAATTTGTCTGCAGTATTTGCAGGAGCCGCAAAAGTGACCAAATTTATCCGTTAGGCAATCTAACATCATTTTATGGGTTTACTGAAACCCTTTTCTATCAATTTTTTGTCGTGCATTGCAGCGTGTTCGTAAACGTATAGAGAACTCATAAGCTGACATTAATTCAAGGAATATTCTACAACTTTTTCTGTTCGATTTTCGCTGTTGAAATAAACGATCCTGCTTGTGGAGATTTTGATCCCTTAGCTATCTATATGACAAACAAATAGTCTGACAGTTTGTCCACCAAATCACTATATCATCCATCGCCATCGAACTCCAACCGACATCAAAAGCGAACGAGTCCACAAATGAAGCTGACGTTCGTTGTCGATTTTCCTGTTTCCCAACACCGTCCAACGGGTTGTGTGTTCGGCCTTTGACGTCGACGTACCGGCCGTATAATGAGCGTAATTTTGAGATCATCTCTATATTCGAAGTGAAGGGATAATTTGCGCCCGCTCCAATGACACCGTACAAAAGAAGGCGATCCCTATCTCCTCTATGTCACAAAGTCGCGGACAAATTACCTGCCGAGTGGGTTCCAAATAGGGTCACATGGGAGATCGCTAGGGGATCTGGGAGTTTATAGCAAGGTTTTGGGGAATTTGAGCTCATAGGAAACCATCCCCGCAAGCTTTAGTAGATAAGGCATTTAGTTAAAAAAATTGGTCATGCTTTAAACTGATTTTTCACAGTTACACTTTTGTGTAATAACTTCTCCAATGTTTATTTTTTTCCAAAAAATTGTAACAATTTTTTCAGGTAATGTACTTCCTGCTCATTTGCTCGGCTTAGTCCTGCAATCACGAGAACACCTGTTATCATTTTTGCTTCACTCAGAAATTCTTGCAGCAACAGTACATCGACGATTGAAAGGTATGATCAGTCAGAATTTTACCAAAAAAAATCTGAATTGGCAAGAGCAAATTCGTTTTGTTATTCGAGCACAAGAAATGGCATTAGCACTTCCTCTAATTGTTAATGACTTCAATCCTACTTTCGCTCTAATATAAGACAATAAACACAAAATTTAAGCAGAAGAATAAACCCATCGTTCTGTTGTGCTTCATTCGGGATTACCTCTGGTAAACCTTTTCCAGCATAGATCCTGTTAAATTAGTCATTTGTAACTCAATATGTGAATCTGCACACTGCACGAGGCAATCAACGATACTTACTAGTAATTCAACAGTAAAACCTTTTATAGCATACAAACTGTGGAAATGCGTAAAGCTACCTGATAAATATCCAACAAATCGAAAGGAAATACAGACCAAGAGAAAATTAGAGGAAATCAGTCGCTTTCAATCTTACTATTCGTGAAATAGTGCGCGTGGTGTGCAGTACCCATATTGTATTAGATTTAACGATAGGAATCGAATTATAAATGCCTTTTGCTCTCTAAAAATTTTTTGCCAATTGTTGAAATCTTCCCCGAAGTTTTCTATGCTATCTATGACTCTAAAATTGAAGGGATCAACCATTGATACAAAAATTTTCACTAAGGATTCAAAGTAAATTTCCAAAAGGTATAAAGTTCCCGATAATAACTCAGAATTCTGCCTCTTCAATATTACGCCAATGAGATTGACGGGGTAGAAACTTTTCGAAATTCTTTGAAGACATTGTTTCATGAATTTTTTGATAACTCTATGAGTCAATTACATAAACTAAAAACGTGAAAAGACATGACCTTGAAGTAGAATACTTATGGATTTATCACAATAATACCCTCTTTTTCAGGGACACCCCTCTCCGAAGCCGTGACAAGCAGCACAGCGCTGCTGGCGGCAGTTGTGCTGGCAGCTTTCCTGTTTTTGATTCTACTGCTAGTGTACTTCTCACAAATCTACGTCAACTGGGCACGGATAGTAAAAGGAGAATGGCATCACAAGGAATACCGAAAAGTACCACGTGTACAATACAGTTCAGACAAAATCATAGTGAATGGACAAATACGCACAAGGATGATTTGAGGAAGATTTTTTCTGCATGCGTTGATAGCATAGAATTTGTTTTGATCTCACGTGTTAAAAAAACGGGTCTAACTGCCCAAATAAGGCGAAAATATGTAGTGTGGCCAATATGCTATTAGAGTAAAGTAGGAGTCATGGACTTGTGCACTGTAGAGCGTTTTTAGCTATCAATTTGTTACCATTAGCTGTAAATAATGTCGTTCTACTATTGATGTTCTATATCACGATCCGAATGATCTTAAATGTGATAGGGAATGCTGTTATCATAATAAATTGTTACGAATAATTTTGTATGGTTGATGGTCTAAAAATAAATATTCTTACATGGAGCTGTTTCCATTCGTCTGCAGCTACCATAACATTATCCATTGTCTATTACAACAGCGATGACGTCTGCCTTCAATCAGAGGCAAAACTTATCAGTTCAAGGAATGTGAAAAGATTTGCATCACATTCGGAGGGTCCATTTCTTCGATTTCTGGCAAGTTTTTAAGACGACTGTTGCTAAGATAAAAATGACAGTGTTGGACGGCCTGTTTGAACATTTCATTTCAGCTCTTCAAACATTATTGTAAAATCTTAAGTTGAATTGTTACGCGGCAAAGCTTCAAGCGTACAGTGATAGTAGTAACTGCCTCACTAGTACAAAACATTTGAACGAAAGAGCTAATGTAGCCAAAATATTTTTTCAGAGCAGCAGAAGAAATGAGAAACGTCAAGTTGTAATGAAGAAAATTCTACGTAGAATACGGTTAGATCCACCTGAAAAATCACCGAAATCCTCATCGTATCGTCAACTCTTGGTCCAGATCGGTGAATATTGAATCCAAGGGCAGCGTTCGAGTTCGGCGAGGTGCATCTTCTTGTATATAGAAGTGCCCATTTAGATAAAGTAGGTGCACAGATCTCATAGATTTTTGTCTATGGTAGGTTACTCCGTGCGAAAAACACATTGAGACCTACCGTAGGCAAAAATCTAAAAAGTTTCGTGAAATGTGACCGGCTACCTACGCTCCCTACCGTATCTAAACGGGACTTCTATATCTTCATTTCATTTCATTAATACGCTCTAGGCGTTCCAAAACATTGACAAAAATGTGTTAATAATACATGAAACACAACAATAATGAACATTTCACCACATTTTTCAAGCCCAGACTAAGCTTATGAGAGAAAAGATTGTGTAGAAGCAGCTTGCGTAAACGCGTATAGATAACAATGCTTGCACTTGCGTGAACTCTATGGGGAAACACTCTGGAGAAGTACCCATGCCCCCTCGTTTGCCAGCAAGGAACGATCTTATTTTGATTTCATAATAGCAAACCGGAAGTTCGGCTGGCGGGTATACTGGCAGCCCCGCCCAACACAGTTTGCCGGGGAGGGTACAAAGCTCCAAGGAAATTTGAAATATATTGTAAATCGGACAAGCATCAGTCTATGTTGGTAAGCTGTACCAAACTAGTGCGTGGTAGTAGGTAGGCTGGGCTCGAAACTATGCGGTAAAAATCTGGGTTAGTAGGAGAACAAATCTAGCAAAGTAGATATAAACTGAGATTGTCGGACGCATGTGCTGATGGGAAGTCAGGAAAGCACGTGTGGCTGGCAAAGTGAGCATAAAACAATGAAGAGAAGCTCTACCTGCAAGGAAAGAAATCATTCAAGTTCAGCTTTTTGATTTCACGTTTGAATGATATACTATTTTTGCAGGCTAAAAGTTCTTTTGGTATTTTTTCCAGCATTCTCGATGCACGAACAAAGAAATCACTTTCTAATAAGGTGCAAAACTGATTTCGCCCACCGCTTGTTGGTAGATAAATAGAAAATCCGCTGGTCCTTCCATGACTAGGCTTGAATACCCAATACTTGGAAGGACTCAGTTTAGTTTCTCCCCTGTAAATCCTAAATGCAAGAACAAGATCGTGAATAACTCTACGATATGAGAGGTATTCAAGACCAAGTGTTTTCAAGCGTTCATCATAATGCGGAAGCAAATGTGGATATGATGAATTCGGAAAACAGCGATAAAAGAGAAGTTTGGTAAAGACTCTCTGAACACTCTCCAGGGTCTCTGTGTGCTTCCTAAGAGAGGGGCTCCAAACAGGACTTGCATATTCTAATAAAGGGATTACATATGCTTTGTACAATTTGACCAGTATTTTGACGTCATTGACTTTAATATTGCGAAAAATGGTGTATAAAGTTGACAAAGCTCGTGAGGTAACAGTTGAAACTTGCAGATCAGGTTTTAAGGTGTCGTCGAATACGACTCCCAAATCCTTAACTGATGTTTCGTTGGATAGCATGACTCCAGCGTGTTCATAATTGGCATCGTTTATCGCACCAATATGAAATACGACACTTTTTTTGACGTTTATCGAGATATCCCAAATTGCGCACCATTCAATCATACGGTCGATGGCGCGTTGTAAAGCATCTTTGATAACTGCGCGATTGCTGTCATCATAAATCCCGTATATTTTTATGTCATCGGCGTACATTAGTACGTGAATATCAGGATGAGTTTTCAAAATTCTGGGCAAGTCGACGGTATAGATAATGAAGAAAAGAGGTGAAAGAGCACCTCCCTGCGGAAGCCCACTTGTACATGGGAAATGCTCAGAGTGATCTCTACCAACACGGACAGTCAAAAATCTAGAGTGAAGATAGGATTTGATCAATTCCAGTAGAACTCCTCTGATGCCATAATGCTCCAGCTTATATAACAATTTATCATGACTTATACGGTCGAAAGCTTTGGACAAATCGAAATAGATTACATCCACTTCTTTTTTATTAATTGAAGCTTTGATCCAGTCATGTCTGCAATCTATCAGTTGTGTCACAGTTGATGCTCCATTGACGAAACCATGTTGTTCGGAAGGTATGAGTTTGCATTTTTTAAACCAAGAAAAAAGTTTGTCGCGTAGAATTTTATATGTCAGATGATGCGCCTCAACGAGCTGAGCTAAATGGTGTCCATTCAGAATTCCTACTATACGTGAAATTTGGAAAATTCTGGTGGAGTTCGGTAACTTTATCAACTATGAGCGGTATTGTAGATTGTTTAACCATACAAACTGCAGATCGCTGAGCCAGATTTCTTGATATTTTTACCACTTGCTATAAATCTTTTCCAGCAAACCAGTTCAATCAGATTCAAAAGGCAATCATCCACTAATGAATCAGTCAGCTTCGCGATCCTGTTCAAAACATTTATTATGCGTCAATTCAAGGATAATCAAGCAGCGCAGATCCGTTGGATAGTCACACGAGAATGCAAAAGCGACAAACAATCAGTTGGACTTTTGTCACTTGCAGAAGAGACACTCACAGACGATTTTTCAGGGAGTAAGTGCTCTTGGGGCCACTAGCTAACACTTTTATTGTTGAAGTGTTCTTTGGATTGGAATCGCGCGCACGTTCTCTGGCTTTTGCCCAGTTTTTGGAGCTTCGATGGATAAATGGCCGACATCGCTCAATTCGCTGCGAATAGCGTCGATGTTCACATCATCTGGGAGCGTCCACTTGCGAACGAATGATCTAGAAAAGTCATTATTCCTCTCTGTCTTATATGGGAAGGGAAATGCCAAGGACTAGTCCCTGACAAAGGCGGATGCTGGTCGCGAAGTTAGTGCGAAGCGTGAGCAGTAGTCATCGCTAGAGCGCATTATGCACATATTATAGGATAACGCTCGCGCGCCGCGTTGCATGCGCTTGCACACAGCATCCGCCTTTGTCTGGGATTAGTCTCTAATTTTTACCTTTCCGTATAGTTGTTGTCACCCTTGTTTTCTTGCTTGCCTTCGATCACAAGTTGTCGACCTTCCAGCTGGACTTTCAGTTCGTCGGGACGAAATTGGGAAACGTCCAGTGAGACAGCAAACCTCTTGTCATCGTTGATTACCTGGGAAATAGTTTAAACTTGAGTTCAAGTATATTTCATCTAAAACAGGCTATACGAGGAGATATCGGAGTGCCGCACCGCATGCGCTTATGCGAAGCGGTCATGAATGAAATGAACAATTCCACCTTGATCAGTGCAAACTATGAATCAAAGTATCCCACCTGTTGAGTATCATTAGCCACTGACATTACGGATGGGTCAGCATTTCTCCAGTATGGAAACATGCCCCTTTCCATCATTCGAAAGCGTTCATACTGCTCCCGGAAGAATGGATCATCCCACATTGGCGATCTTGTCATGTCCCACATCGGAGATCTTGGCCACAATGACATTTTGGGAGTGACTAAAAGCTGCAGAGGAAGTTTTAACGGTAGAAATAAAGACGGGTTTTGAGAGAGAGAGCCGCCACAATTCTGAAAAGGTACAGACATACTCGAGAAGAAAAATAATGCGGTGATTAAATAATAAAAATAATGTTTTCGAATTTCTGATCGTTTTTGTTACGGTTCTTTTTTCTCGAAATCTTTGAAACTATCTATCGTGCCAGATGACGCCAAATGCAATCATCACTTTATTTTTTTTAAATTCGTAGAAACGGAGCAGCCAATGTTTATGGCAATTTCTCTTATACCTTAATTACCTGAAATGAGACAGCAACAACTATGATTATTGCCAGCAAAAGAAATGGAAGCGTATAATAAGCTTTATATCGGCTAGTGCCAGACCGAGATATGGGTGAAACTTACGAAGTTTTTTAGGGATTTATGGAGTCGGAGTGGAGAAATTGTGCAAGTGACCTGTTTTCTGGGTAAATGGTTTTATGGTCAAAAAACTCGAAATAGTTTAGGAGAAAAACTCAGGTATGCTTCCACAAAATTTCCGGAAAGTATCTGCGCTCCTTCATCCGAAAATTATACCGCGTCACACTCATTCTCCCCCCCCCCCCTCTCCCCACAAAAGGTCGGAAAGCTGTGGTCCCAGCGGTTGTGAAAAGCAAAAGAAAACAGCAAAGAATATCCTAGAAAAGATTTTGGAGTAAACTGTATTCTCAGATCAACTTTTGTGCTCTAATGGTCGACTTACAGTTAGAAAGGTGGTCCAAAGTTGCTGGACGTTGCATTTTGAAGAATTCCGAATGCGTGCGGAGTCTTCAGTGAGATATCAACTGACTCTAGGTTTCTCACTACAAAGATGTGCCTCAAACTCAGCTTTGTTACAACCAACGCCTACTTACAGTGGACTCGAGACTACATCGTAAAAGCGACGCAGCTGGAAGCAATTTTTCGAGTGTGTTTCAGAAAAATTAGCATTAATCAACATGGAACAGATTTTTGACATCTGATCACAAATGTCCATTCAGTGTAAATAAAGCCTGTCTAAACGTATGAGTAATTGATTCACCGAATGTATAAAGAGCTGGCCATGATGAAAACCCAACTTACTTTGAAGTATTGAGAGGTTCACCCTGCACAAACCTGCTGCCTAAAAAATCTAAAGATTGAGCTAATTTGGAAACGTCAATATGCTCAAGTAACATTTTGAATGTGGGCATGACACCCCCCTGACACCCCACACCGAGAATGGATCGCGAAATTTTTGCATGTTACTTACATGGTTTATGAAAATGTGCTCGTGACTTGTTTAATTTTGTAATCGCTTAAAAAATTTTGCAAAACTCTATACATAAAAGCAGAAGACTTGTATGTTTGGGCACATTCCTCATAGTCATAAAGGAGAGCGGTGAATAGAAAGCGACCTTAAGACGAGTCTGAATTAAAAGAAACATTTCGCTACCTGAGGTCAAGCACAATGGACTGGCTCCAAACCGGGGTAGAACCCGGGATGCCAGCTCGTGTTTCATATTTTAGCCTTATAAATAAAATTTCTTGAAGTGCGTGGCTCATGCCTCGCACCTTAATCGGAAAATTTCCTTCCCTCTCCCCTCCCCCCCCCCCCCCGAACGGAAATTCTGGGTACGCCGCCCTACCTACGGCACTTGAATAAATCAAATGAAAGGGGAGAGTAACTATCTTATTGTTAGTAAGTAAGTAAAGTGTTAGTAAAGTTGCTTTATCCAAACTAGCATTCGATTTTTGGGCATTTTTTCCTCGAGTCATTGTAGTGAATTAATAAAATTAATTTACTTGTATTTATATTTATATTATTTATTCGATCTTGATCAGGTCTCAGGTCTCTGATTTTAAACTTCTGGGTGCTTGGAGATTGGAAATAATTTCATACTATAGGACAGAATCGCGGTAAGATTTAGATATGTCAGAGTTGAAGTGTCGCAAAAAAATACCAACCATTTTATATGAAATTTTTCTTGCGAAAGTGATAGTTACGTATAAGATTTCGAGTTTTCCAACCAGTTGATAGTTAGCGTGCAACTGTACTGATCAAATCAAAGAATCTTTAGAGTATTGGTTGGCGCAAAAGTTTCGCAACTTTTCCTACAATTTTTTCTCACTTAATGTAGCACTCTCATTTTTTGGCATCGTTTAGAGCGTGACGATTGCAAGCCTGCACAAACTGTTTGATTTATGAACGTGATAAGAAAAATTCAAGCGTCTTTTGAAACCCCTTGGAAATGGAGGTTTCATGGTTTTTTTTTTTGACGAACATGAGGCCGTACAAAACTTGAATCAAACACATCAAAAAGGAAATATAGGCAGCATGCGGCTAAAAGTGACTCATTAAAAGCAGTAAAAAAGAAGTGAAATTTAAAAACAAACTAAGACAAGGCGTTTTTGAGAAGTAGAACAAGTCAAATGCGTCAAGTTTTAAAGGCAATCTGTCAATAACTAAGCTGCGAAATCAGATTCGCTAAAACTTTGCACAATAGGGTAATCCTTTACGGTGAACACGAATATCATATTCATTTGTCATTTAAATAATGTCCATTTTTTGACCCTACGAAAGAGGCCTTTTCATGCGAAACGGTCTTATTTTTGTGATCAGCATGTCGAATAACCCCCATAGGCTAAGTTTCAGCAAAATCCGATGCAATCTAAAAATTCTCCCATTGTACCGTAAACTGAACCTAGCTTAACCCTTACATAAGATGGCAAAATTCTGCAAAAATGTCCGCACTTGCAGTTTACATCAGTTCTTATATTGCCAGTGTATGCGCTAAGGTAAAAAAAGACAAAAGTTGTAAAAAGTTGCGTTACTTACGTGCCAACCTAATACCATCAGAACATAAGAAAAGACAAACGAAGGTTATGTGTGAGATATTTCTTGAGAACAGCTATGGAAAATTTTCTAGAAAGCGAAAGTACTGCAGCTGCAGTCATCAATACAACGGACTGAAGCTTTTGCATAAGATCTCAGGCACATTATTTCTGGCTGTGAAAAGAAAAAGTATTACACAGTCACATTGCTGAGGAACATATGCTGCTTCCCATTTCTCAGGAATTCGCTGTGGTTTTTTTTACCTCACAAGTACATGTCTGCAAGATGTTGAAGAGGAGAAAACATTCCAAAATAATGTGATATTACGATAATATCTATAATAATGGTCCGATTCAGTTTGCCCGGATAATGCTATGCTTTTGCTGGACTTGGTCGTAAATTCTAGGGTCTCCGAATCTACTAGGCAAGCCACTCTATTATTGGATACAACTGGATGCATGTATTAAGTTGCTGCATAAGTTCTGTCCGATTTTTTGCCTTATGTTTGAAGCAGCTGTTTCAAGAATATTTCATCTTTAATGCAGTCTTGCTAGTATTATTAGAAAGTGCTTTCCTTGCTCTTTCTAACGCATATCAAATTTCAATATAAATTTCTTAGTGTACGCTGATTTCAGGCCTAAAATCTTTGAGTGGCCGCGGTACGTTCTCACCCTAGAAATATGTCCTTGCGAGGAAATCTCCACAATGCGCCCTTGAAGTCAAGTTCTTTCATTGGCTGCGGAATAAAGGTGTAGAAGGCTAGTATATGCAGAAATTCGGTTCCATGAAGAAAACGTCTTGCTAGTAAAATTTATCGTCGAACACTAATTTTTTGTATAGATGTTTTACAAGCAATAAATTTTTGCGAATAGAAGTAATCGATAAGCTCAAAGTTGGAGGTGCTAGGGCTAAGCAAGAGCTAGCAGGACTTATCCACCAGTTCGTTTTCGGCGGTTACGTCAGTTGTATAATTTTCAACTCGTAAACAGGCATGCACATATGTGCTGAAGCGAGGTCAAAAAGTGGCTTCTTTTTCGCTCGGTCAAAAAAATCTCTCGGCAGCGCAGACCCTATGGGCTGTTTTGTGTTGCATAATAATCTGCGAAAATTTCTCTATCTATCCATTTCTAGAAAAGATATTTATCAGTTTTCATAAGGGAGCATTGCCATGTCAAAAAAGACAGGTATGAAGAAAAACGTTGTGAAATTTTTGCATTCTTGCTTCTTCCTTAACAAGGTTTGCGCAGATCTCAACATGTGTTTCAAAGCCAAGGAACTGCTCAACACATAGAAACTGAGATCTTGGAAAAAAGTTGACTTTGAAAGAAGTTACGACGTTTTGAACTCAAAAAATTCAAATCGGACAGAACTTATGCAGCAACTTGTATTAAGGATTACGGAAGAAGTTCAACCTCAAAGCTAGCAAGTATTAGGTCTTCACCCGGATAGCTTACCGTGCTACTTCGTCAATTTACCTTACCCTTCAGTAACAGGAAGAAGATTCTTGCTAATCTTTAATAATTTGTTTTACCGTGGAGCACGATGGTTACAGCATCTGCCTGACGATACTCTTCAACCAGCTAACAGCGCAGCCTTCAAATCAAGATTGAGGAAAGTTGACTTGCAGCATCTTATTGGCTAGTAAAGTTAGGATCAGTGCTTCTTAGTTTTCTTTCAGTTGGAACCTGTCTAAGCCATTGCTTTATTTCAGTGATTAGTTGCGTGGCTGAGCTTCCAACATCCGATTCTTTTTGCTTGACTGTTTTCGCTACCATCATATGGCCCACCTGCCAGAAACTCTACTATTTCGCTATTTCTACTCTACAGTTTCGATGTTATTTCGGCCACCACATTTACCTCGTATTATCGTATTATTATTACGCCACAATAGGCTTTCTCTTTTTTCTTTATGTTGGCATCAGGCAAGCCAGCTTATCGCTTTGCGAGATCACTACAAGAAATGATTTCGGATTCCGCCCTTTGGCATTCAAGCATTGTTTTCGATCTGAGTATTCTTTCAATTACTTGCATTAAATATGCTTTTGCATATCTTCTACCGGCATTCTGAAATTAAGTATACTCTTTTTCCCTGAGGTTATAGTCAGCTAATCTTCCCCATAGGCTCGCTGACCTGCAAATGAAAGGGATTCAATTTTTGAAAGACAACAAGATTTCCTTGTTTAGATGTACCATACTTTGCTCAAAAACTGTTAACGTAATCCTACATCGTTCTTACGCGGACTAGTGCCTGCGTTGTGGATGGCTGGTGTTCGCTTGAGCTCATTGTCCGCTTGAGTTTAATGTCATCTGTGACTGGTTAAGTTTGCTAACGGCACACCTTGAGTATATTATTAGAGTGTCTCATAGTTTTTTACCCTTTTACTGAAACCGCCGTCTTTTCGTATCTATCCTTCATCTGGTGCGGCTTGAATAATCATTCGACAGGGCAAAGCAAGCTCTACAAGATGGCTATCAAAAGTCTGCCTAAATCGTATCCCACGTGAAGTTTTGAGCTGAAATCTGACAGTAATCGAAAATGAACTTTTCTTCAAAAATCGTATCTCCGACCCAAAATATCCAAAAAAAATCCCCCATCTATTCCAGCATATGCTTGACACATCGCATATTCAATTATACACTTTTTGAATTTTTTCCGTGACTAGAAACAAAGAAAAAAATGAATGAGGCAAAATGGCAAACTCCGCCTCTAGACGTCCTGAACTCCTCCCACGCAGGTGATCATATAGCTCATACATAGGAAGTACGATCATGTATTTGGATTTTTTGTACGTGCTAGCTCTCAAAAAATGCTGATGTTTAGGGTAAAAACGACTTATCTGTAAAATTTAGGGCACGTAGATTTTTCAACAAACTAATCAACAGGAAAACTTGATCTACAGCTTGCTTCAAAGAGAAAGGCTGGACCAGAAAAGAAAGTGTCTAATATATTTCACAAGCAGGAAAGATACTTTTCTTTTCTATTAGCTAGATCT